ATTAAATTTCATTCAAAATATATTATTTCTCTTTTAAACAACAAAATTAAAAATTAATACAAAATTAAGCAAAAAAGGGCAACAAATAATTAAGCGAAGGAAAAAAAGTTCCTAACATAGAAAAATTATGTAGTATGTACATATGTTTCCTTTTAAATCAGTAAAATGAAAAATTAAAAAAAGAAAAAAATGTAAATACAAAAAAGAAGAAAAAGCTCCGCTGCCCGAGCAGGCCTTTGCTTGCTCTCTAAAAATAACTTTACACCGCGAGTTTTTCGAACTATCTTGCTTTCTGTCTTTCATTTGTTTTACGAAAGAGTTTTTACGATCTTAGCCAAAATTTCCCTGTAACTGTTCACATGCCAACTAAAATCCACGCATTCAACGACTTTATTTCTTTGATCCGAACCTATTGAAACAACAGACAACTGACCATGGGCGTAGCCAGGTAGGGGCAGGAGGGTGCTCGAGCCCCCCCAAAACTTTCAAAATTTCCTTAATTATATATAAAATAGTACCTTGAAATGCCAGCTTATCTTTCATATAAGTATTGGAATTTCAAAACTTTCCGTCTCGTTTGATGCTTCCGTTTTTTGTCTACATAGGCACATACATACATACTAACTACATACATACATACTATCTACATACATACATACATATCGCCGTTTAAAGTACAAAACCGCATATCGTCATTCTGCAAAACCGCGTAACTGACATTTGCTGCCAAAAATTGGATTTGCTCACACAAACTCTTGGCTCAATCCTTATCCATTTGTCCTGAAATATACAAGCCAGAGAGGCGATTGCTTTATAAAAAAGAGAACCATTTTGAAATATGAGTGTTTTTACTCTCTAGAAAATAGTTTATGCAACCTCACAAACGCGGTTTTGCATTTCTTTGATACGCGGTTTTGTACTTTAAATGACGTTATGGCTTAATTACTAATGCCTTTCCCTCGACTGTGTTTTGATTGCTAAGTATGTAGTAAGATGCGGATAAAGTAGCGTAATTACTCAACAGACTGGTGCAAATACCTACAAAAGCACAGGTGCAGCGTCCGGACTTTGCTCCGATCGGAGTAGATTTACTCCGATTTCTTTTTTAAATTTAAAATCTATTCCCTACTCCGCTTGGACTAAAATATGCTCCGATTTTTTTACTTTTTAACCGACTTCCAAAAAAGGACTGATAACCTCCGTTCGTCGGAATATTTTTTTATTTATTTTTTATTTTTTATTTTTTTTATTATGTATGTTACCGCATAACTTTGGACCACGTCAACCGATTTCGATAATTCTTTTTCGGAAAGGTAGTGTCTCAGAGGTGGTCCCATACTAATCTGGTTAAGATCCGATCAGTGGATCATGAAATATATATATATATTTTTTTTTTTATATGAGAGTTGAAGTCGGTTTTTTTTTTTGCTAAAAATTACTTGTTTCCATTCACATTAAGAATATATTACAGAATAATTAACTTCATACATTTTTGCGCAATAACTTCTGTTGCAGCAAGGTTTTGTATTGCAAGGTGTAGCAGAAGTTGTCTCTTTTACTCTTGAACATTCCTTGCGGAATCACTTTTTATTTCCCAAAGCAAGGGTGTTTAGCTGAGGGAGAGCGGGAGACCAGGTTTAAAGGCGACCATATATATTAATTGGGGGACTCCATTGGAGGAGTCGTGCTCTAGCTGCCGTAGGCTGCTGTGCAATGAGCTGGGATTTATTTGGGGGGACTCCATTGGAGGAGTCATGCTCTAGCTGCCGTAGGCTGCTGTGGAAATGAGCT